GCAATAAGTGCCACTCAAATATTGATTGCTAAATTTATCAGTGCTAGAAATGCCAGATTTTCAGCATGGTGAAATCTGAAAATCCCAAGATACCTGGACCATAATGTATGTAAGAGGAAAGTGAGCGGTTTCAGATATCTCTAAGTCAGTGGAATGCTTAGGGTCCACACTTCCTTTCTGGAGTGACATTTACTTTGTTAAAGTAATTGACTCTAAAGTGAATTAAATAAACACAGACATCTTTCTTTGCATTTCATTATTCACTCATAATTAGTCAAAATATGGCATTAATAATGCATGCTTATAATATGAAGAATTTTTTTCCATGCCTTATTTTTCATATTACATATTCTTACTCTTTCCACAGTTCCAGGAGAGCCTCAGATTCTGGTTTGTCGTAATGAAAGTTCACACGGAGGAGTAATCACCTGGAATCCCCCTCAAAGTTTATTTCATAAGTTTACTCTTTGTTATCATAATAAGTCAGGTAATTTGTATAAAATTTAATTTCGTATTAGGAAAGAGAAACCCACAACTTGAAAGTACTGAAAATGTGGATTGAACCAGTGAGCCATAGAACTTTATGCACAGAGACTATGGTGGGCATCCTCCATGCCTTGATTTTAGAACTGCTTTCATTCATAAGTATTGTCCAGCTCCAGAAATGACTAAAGCTCAGGGCATTTCCATGATTCGCTTATCTTTCTTGATCTGTCTTATTTCCAATCTTTGTAATCCAAAGCCTGGAGATAGAAAATTTCTAAAAGGTAATACACATTACTGTCTTCCAAATATTATGTAAGTGATTTGCACTGCTTTGAACTCATTATTCAGGCCACCAAATAAACAAACAAACACCTTCCAAAGCTCGCTCCAGTTAATATACTCAAAATAGAAGTGAACATGAATCCATTTTGCCACTGAGGCCAGTTTGGTTGAATCTTGGAACATAGTTCTAGTTTATAATCTGACTTCTAAAGAAATAGATGTAGTCAAAAAATTTTGCTATGATGAGTTAACCACAAAACCTTTAAATGAGAGGCTATTTAAGAGAACAAACATGTTCTATACAACTTAAAGTATCTAAAATGTTTGTAGAACACAATGAGTCTCAAAGAAGCATCTCAGAACAACCTCAACAGCTGGGATAGCCCTCTCTCTAATCTTTCACCTATAGGTTAAGGTAGGATTGAACTGAACATCTCATAGAATTTTGTCTCTGTATTTGCAGGAAGGAACAAGACACAAATTCCAAAATTTGAAAAGTAAACAACTATTTATCTTTAGCATGTTATTTTATATCTTGATAACATTATTAACAATCTTAATAATCAGCCTACTAAAGCAGTTAAATGACACATGTAGCTTTGAAATTAGCACAAGAGGACTCAAATGCTGTGGAGAAGAAATATTTACAATATATTTGAAGTTATGGTAATTTCAAAAGTTAGGTGCTAGTAGAAAGGAAAAATGAAAATTCCAGAAAGGTAAAACAGGAAGATGATTAGATACCCTTTGCTTTCTTGGTCACCTCTTTTCCAACCTCTCTTTGCTTGGCTTCGGTAAGAAGTTTTTGCTTCATTTTCTCTTTTCTTCTCTGAACATGCTACTCACCATCCCTTTCTGTCTTCATCAGTTTCTACACTTTCTCTATGAGTATTTTGAATGCCAGAGTATGTGGTGAAAATTTGGCATGTTTACAGTTCCTTTGTGTTCTATACAGCTTTTTTTTAAAGGCTGCATTTGCACTGTATTTGCATAATTAGAATAAGAAAGATTATTTCCATAACTAGGAAAAGAGCTAGTTATTAGCAATCTGATGTTTTGTTTTATTTGTTTTTTTTGCAACTAGTATAGCTCTTTCTTACGTAGTGTTAGCCAAATTTACATCTATCCAAATATAACACTTGAGCAGTTTGGAGGAGAGAGACTGGGAGGCTGGACAATATCAGGCCATGAGTGTTCTTCTCCCCAGAACTGTCAGACTGATAACCGAATTCAGCCTCCACTCTGGATCATACACTGACTCTGCAAACATACAAAATTGGGAACACCGAATGGAAGCCAGGTTGACCTTGAGACCAGCATCTTGACACTTGGATTTTATCCTAATAAGAAGTCAGGCATTGTCCTAGAAGCCAGACTCCGTACGAGGAGCTGGGAGAAGCCTACAGTTCTGGAGCTCACACCTTTTCTGCCCTCAGAGAATTCTCAAAGGGACTGGGCAGAACTGTGTCAGCAGTTATAAATCAGTTAACCCCAGCTCTGGGGATTTCTGGAAAACAGACACTTTCAATAAGGCTAGAACAGTCACTTCATCTCACCGACTATTTAGGATCCCATGATGATGTGGAGATATTACTATAATCTCCACTTTATGTGTAAGTAACTGAGACAATAAATACATATTAGATCTTTTCCTGTCCTGCTCTTGAAAGTCCACGGGCACATCCAGCTGCACCAGAGAAGCGAGGTGTCCAAGACAAAAATGAAGCTTGGCCCCTCTGCAGGCCCTTGTTCCCTCTTCCACACGAGACGGCACGTGAAATGGTGAAGACTGTGGAGCACAGTCTCTAGAGCCTCAATGCCTGAGTCCCATCCTGGCTTCATTTTCCCTTTCCCGTGAGGCTATGGACCGATGGCTTTCTCTCTCTGGCTCAGTTTTCTCATCTGTAGAATGGCATGATACCAAGAGTACCATCTGATCGGGCTATGGTGGTGGTTCAATTAATTAATTAATGTTACACCACTTAAAACAGCGTTTGGCACATAGAGTAAGCTATTCATTGTTTGTATCACTATTGACATTACTATTATTATCACTGTCACTGTTATTCAGTAACATGCTGCAGCTCTGGTCTTCCTTTAACCTATCTTTGCTGGTGTTACTTGGCTACTCAAAAATAGCCAGTGGCTCATGATTTTTTCACTTAACAAATGCTAACTCTTCTGCCTGAATGTTAGAATGCACTTCAGCAAGATCCCAGCTCTTATATTACTCCCCGGCCAGAATCTGCTGTCCTAGTCAGGTTTATCCTTAAACTCAAACATTCCTTCTTTCATTTGTAACGTTTTCCTTTCTCCTTTACACCTATTCAGTTTCATTTACCTTTCAATGAACAGCTCAGACCCCACTGCAAGCTTGAAGCTTTTGCTTATTTTCACCGCCCCATGACTTACTATAATATTTAAATTAGTATGATAGTGGAGACCTAGTTATGGGTGGCCAGATGGATTCTGCTCCTAAAGTCCAAACCACTAGCTAATATCAGTGTTCAAAGATTGGAGGTTAAATATCAGAAAAGGTTCACTAAAAAATAGTCATTCTGAAACCTCACAACTCAAGACTTTGATAGTAACCACTGAGGGCTGTATTTTCTCAGAAAGAAAAGGGACCATCTTCACAAATGTGTCTGAACTTATTAAATATTTTATGTGCCAAATTAATGGATGAAACCTTAATTTTTTAATATTTGAGTGTATTTATAATAATTGAATTTGTTTAATATCTTTCCGGATAACTGGTGTACTTCTGAGTATCGATGATGTGCTTATTCCTTAATGACTCATTATTTGGAGTTGGCTTGGAATGATATCCTGTGGAGACTAAATTCAATATGTGCTAATCCTGACTTTTAATGACTCACTAAATTTTTCCGTTTTTTTTCCCCCTGAGGTGAATACTGCTTCAGTCTGAATAAAAATGAGACCAGATACGATTTGCAAAATTTAAAACCTTTTACAAAGTATAGTGTATCATTGTATGCCTACATCAAAGCAAAAGTGCAGCGTAATGGAACTGCTGTGAGATGCAATTTTCGAACAAATGCAGACTGTGAGTTTTATGCTTTAATGCTGATTTCCATGAATGACAAGGAGCAAGTATGATTTTTTTTAGTCTACAATACATCTATCTTTGTGCTTCATTTGGGAAACACATTGAGCTGGCACATTTGTTAACATCTAAGGTTTATCATGATTTAAAATAAAACAATTTAAAAACTGTTTTCCTGGGTTCTCTGTATTCTTCAGAATTGTGAGAATGAAGACTGGGTGCATATTAACTGGTATGACTTGTAAGATTTCAAGCAATTAAGTACCCAACCGACTTATATAAAAAAATGCAATGTTTGTTGTTGTCTTTACTATCTAGAAATATTAACTGAAACCAGACAATTCATGTCCCACAGAGTATCAAAGTGTTAACTTACTAACCTCTGTTCACTTGATAAACCATTTCATAAAATAAAATACGTTGTTAGCATTTTTTTCTGTTTATTACACTGAACGACCTACTGTTCTATTTTGTGTCACATTTCCCATTTGAGGTTTGCTTTCAGTGGCATTTAGCTTGGCTGCTGCTAGCTTATGATGTCTTCACAGTTTCCACAGCCAAAGCTAGATCTGCGTTTTAGGTGTATGATCACCTCCCTTAAGGACAGGAAAGAAGAAATGCCTGTGTGCAAGGCAGCATCTAGAGCTAGAGTCCGTGACCTGCGCCAGGCTCATGAAGAAAAGTGGTTCTATTCAGGGCTGAACCCAAAATACTCTTAACATCATTTAGGTTCCGGTTTAAAAAGTCCAGGTCTTGGATTTCTTTTCTTTTGTTATTTTCCCGAGTTTCTGTGATNGGGTGCATATTAACTGGTATGACTTGTAAGATTTCAAGCAATTAAGTACCCAACCGACTTAGATAAAAAAATGCAATGTTTGTTGTTGTCTTTACTATCTAGAAATATTAACTGAAACCAGACAATTCATGTCCCACAGAGTACCAAAGTGTTAACTTACTAACCTCTGTTCACTTGATAAACCATTTCATAAAATAAAATACTTTGTTAGCATTTTTTTCTGTTTATTACACTGAACGACCTACTGTTCTATTTTGTGTCACATTTCCCATTTGAGGTTTGCTTTCAGTGGCATTTAGCTTGGCTGCTGCTAGCTTATGATGTCTTCACAGTTTCCACAGCCAAAGCTAGATCTGCGTTTTAGGTGTATGATCACCTCCCTTAAGGACAGGAAAGAAGAAATGCCTGTGTGCAAGGCAGCATCTAGAGCTAGAGTCCGTGACTTGCACCAGGCTCATGAAGAAAAGTGGTTCTATTCAGGGCTGAACCCAAAATACTCTTAACATCATTTAGGTTCTGGTTTAAAAAGTCCAGGTCTTGGATTTCTTTTCTTTTGTTATTTTCCCGAGTTTCTGTGATATCACAGAAAATGAAGGCAATTTGTTACTGCTCCTGAAGAATGCATCCAGGTGTTTGCCTGGAAAATGTAAGCATTTCAGGAAAAGAGGGCCTGGATCATATAGTGGGGTTTGGAGGTCTCCCAATCATCATAATTTTCCCTCCCTTCCCTCCTCTCTATCTCCCCACCCCTACTCTCCTTTTTTTCTCTCCTCTCTAATTCTACACGCTCTCCTTCAGGGAGTGCATGAACTCTCATGGTTTCAAGTGCAACCTATATGCTAACACTGAATATATAGATAATTTATTTTTAGATGTTCTGTTACAGCTTTTTTTTTCTTAATGTACTATCATCCAAAACCCCAAAACCAACATTTCTAAGTACTTTATACTGGCCGCATGTATTGTCAAGTAATTTAAATATTCATTTATCAAATGATTAAAATAGTAAATCTTTCTTCATTTTGATAGGTCCAGGTGAAGTTGAGAACGTGAGTGTCTCCCTGAAATCAGATAATAGTATGCTTATTATATGTGACGCTCCTAAGGACATTAATGGCCCCAGTGCAAGCTACCACTTGGAAGTTAAAACTGGAGATACTCTAGTTAGACATGAATCAAAAGTTACCTGCAATTTCCTTGTAGAAAATCTTCAATATTCAACAGACTATAAGCTTGAGGTACGGTTATGTTTTCTATAATCACTATAGTACCAATCTACATAATAATGGTTGATATCTAGTATTTGAATAACATCTGAGCAATTGCTCACTTGAGCTTGATAATTTTTTTTTTTTTTTTTGTCTTTTTCCATGGCCGGCAACGGATCGCAACCCTCAGTGTCGCCCCCGTCACAGACCGGGACCCCCAACGGGATCGCAACCCTCAGTGTTGCTCCCGCACTTTGCTCAGCCAGTGAGCGGGAACCGGTCTGTATGTGGGATCCGAACCCTTGGGTGGGAGCGCCGCCGTGCTTCCCAAGCGGCGCACTATAGCAGTGCGCCACCGGGCCGGCCCCAAGCTTGATAATTTTTAATGTCTAATGGAATCACTTTATAAGTCTCAAAAATCTGACTCCAAACTTTTTATCACTAGGACTAAAAACAGTGGTTTAAAGCAAATATTCTGTTGGAATATTTTAGAATTTTGATGCAATTTAATAATAGTTAAAGTATTGCTCTTCTGTCAAGAAACACCATTTTATGCACAAGAAAATAATACTTTGACAAATCTTTTCTTTACTTTTGCTTTTTTTCTTAATTAATGTGAATTTTTCGATTGCAAAAATTTCACAGGTACCTTGAAACTAGAAAATACTAGAAATATATATTAGAAAACACCAATGAAACAGAGAATTAAAAATGTCCATAATCTCACTTTCTACTGATCATATTTTGCATATATACTTTAATAATATGTAATGAATATTCACATACATTTAATAAATATCAATATTCAGAATACACAGTTTGGTAAACTGTATTTTTCATATATCACTATATCATGCATTTCTTTCCATGTTAAGTATTTTACGACAATGAGAATTTTAATGGTTGTATAGGATTCTATATGTGGCTTGGTCACAGTCTACTAACTATATCTGTTGGTCTCTAATATAAACAAATTCAGTAAACACACTTATGTTCAATAGCAAAATCGTTGTTTTTAATCATTTATGTTTAATAAATTCCTAGAAGTGAATTGATTGGCTTACAAGGAATTTACATGTATTTTAACATTTTTTGATACTTATCTTTATTTTTCTTTAAAAGCTCCAAATTAGCCTTTTGAATCAATATATGAAATGACTGTTTCTTGAGAGGCTCACCAACACTGAACATGCCCTTCTTTTACTCTGATGTTTAGTAGGTGAAATACAGTATTTGTATCTCTTTTTGTTTTAATGTTTTGGGTTTTCTTTTTAACTTGCTGTTGAGGAAAAATATAATTTTGTTACTGTTATTAATGTGGTAATATGTTCATTACCTCTTTTGTCCAGTTTTCTTTGGGGAGGCTCTTTGGATATTAATGATATTAAACTCTTTGTCATATGTGTGCCATTGTTGTGATGACACGGTGTGATCTGTTTATATGGTGAATCATAGCAGTAGGTTTTCTAAGTCTAAAGCATTGTCACATTCCAAGGGGGGGGAACCCTGCTTTGTCATTGTGTATTATTCTTGTAAAGTATTATTGAAATCAACAGCTTAATATTTTATTAAGTCTTTATGAATAGCAAGGTCATTCAATAAGCGGGTAGAGGTGGTGTTAACACAGGTCTGAGTGCACATAATTCTGATTACGTTTTTGGTATAAAGGTTATGCTAACCTGATATAACAAATTGGTGATATTTTCTGCTTTCCTTTATTACATAACTTTAAATAGTATAGGAATAATTAGTTCCCTGAAAAATTTCTTTTGATCTCTTTAGTGTAGAGGAATTCTTTGAGAACCATTTATTTTTTTTTCAATATGATTAGTCTTTTCAGATATTTTACTCTTGTTGAGTGAGTTGCTATTTACATTTTTTCCAAAGGTAGTCCATGTAATTGTGTTATTCCTGTATCTTCGTACATTACACTTCATTTCCCACTACTTCCCCAGTGCCCATTAAGCACCAGGCACACTGGTTTCCTTTTAGTTTCTCCAATACACCCAGGTTTGACTCTTTGAAGGCATCTTAACTCACTTCTTCTCTATTCCTAGAATTCTCTTCTGCCACTCCTCAAACATTATGTTATTTTGGAAAAATATGTGAATATCATATTAAAATACAATTTAAAAATCCAAAGTAGGAGATAATCATTTATTTACCAATTCTCATCCCCCACGGTCCAAAAGGCAGTCTTTTCTTCATTATACTTACCATAACTTGTTTTTATGTTTATTTCTGTTTCGTCTACCCTA